TTTGGCCACTGGGACCTCCTTCCGGAAGGTTCCTATGTCCCTGTGACATACCACCATCCTCGTTTTTGGGCACTTCCTTCCTTTCTGCCACCATAAGTTGCTCCAGGATCATCTTGTACTGGTCCTGCCCCATCCCTAGAAGCAGTCATCTCTCCAAGGAGCCTGGTTCCTTTCACTGCAGAACAGTATTAGAAACCAAGAGTGGCCAGGCCGGGCGCAGTGGCTCACGCCTGTAATCCCAGCACTTTGGGAGGCTGAGGTGGGCAGATCACCTGAGGTCAGGAGTTTGAGACCAGCCTGGCCAACATGGTGAAACCCTGTCTCCACTAAAAATACAAAAGTTAGCCGGGCGTGGTGGCTCATACCTGTAATCCCAGCTACTGGGGAGGCTGAGGCAGGAGAATTGCTTGAGCCCAGGAGGCAGCGGTTGCAGTGAGCCGAGATCATGCCAAAGCACTCTATCCTGGCTGACAGAGTAAGAGACTCTGTCTCAAAAACAAAACAAAACAAAAATTAGCAGGGTGTGGTGGCAGGCGCTTGTAGTCCCAGCTACTCGGGAAGCTGCGACAGGAGAATTGCTTCAACCCAGAGGCCAAGGTTTCAGTGAGCTGAGATCACGCCACTGCACTCCAGCCTGGGCAACAGGGTGAGTCTCCATCTCAAAAAAAATAAGAAAAGAGAAACCAGGAGCAGCCGGGCGTGGTGACTCACACCTGTAATCCCAGCACTTTGGGAGGCCCAGGCAGACTGATTGCTTGAGCCCAGGAGTTTGAGATGAGCAAAACCCTGTTTCTACAAAGAAATGCAAAAATTTAGCCGGGTGTGGTGGTGTGTGCCTGTGGTCCCAGCTACTCAGGGAGGATAAGGTGGGAGGATTGCTTGAGCCCTGGAAGTCAAGGCTGCAGTGAGCCGTGTTTGTGCCTCTGCATTCCAGCCTGGATGACAGAATGAGACCCTATTTCAAAAATAAATAAATAAAAAATAAAAAGGAAAAAAACAAGAGCTAGATGCTGGATGTATTCATGCCACTGGGTGTCACTTCTTCCAGGCCCTCAGCTGACATAGCTAGAAAATATATGTGTGTCTCTTTACCCACGTATACACACATATGCCTCCATTATGTTTTGTATTTGTAGCCATTTACATATAAAAATGGAAGTTTTATATGTACAAATTTTATCTCCCCAAACTTAACAGGTTGTCTTGTTTTTTCTCTTTGTATCATCTCATTGCATCCCACAGCTCAGTGAAGTCCAGAAAATTAATATTCCCTTCACAGAGAAAGAAGCTGAGAAGAAGAGGTGGTTTTTGTTTTTTTGTGTTTTGTTTTTTTGAGGTAGGGTCTTGCTCTGTCGCCCAGGCTGGTGTACAGTGGTGTGATCATGGCTCACTGTAGCCTTGACCTCCAGGGCTCAAGTGATCCTCCCACCTCAGCTTCCGAGTAGCTGGGACCACGTGTGTGCACCACCACACCCAGCTAATTTATTCATATATATATATATCTCTATATAATGTATTTATATTTATATTTATTTATTTTGAGACGGAGTCTCGCCCTGTCACCCAAGCTGGAGTGCAGTGGCGCGATCTTGGCTCACTGCAACCTCCGCCTCCTGGGTTCAAGCGATTCTCCTGCCTCAGCCTCCAGAGTAGCTGGGACTACAGGCCCCTGCCACCACGCCTGGCTAATTTTTGTATTTTTAATAGAGATGGGGTTTTGCCATGTTGGCCAGGCTTGTCTCAAATGCCTGACCTCTTGATCCCCCTGTCTCGGCCTCCCAAAATGCTGGGATTACAGGCACGAGCCACTGCACCCGGCCAATTTTAAAAATTCTTTATAGAGATGGGGTCTCACTACGTTGCCCAGGCTGGTCTGGAATTCCTGGGCTCAAGCGATCCTCCCGCCTTGGCCTCCCTAAGGTGCTGGAATTACAGGTGTCAGCCACTGCATCCCAGCCCGAGGTGCAGAGAACGTAAGTAACTTGCACAGATGACACAGTTCTGGAAGGAGGTTTCAAACCCAAGAGAAGAAACTTTCAGAGGCTTGGAAGCCCAGCCCTGCCCAGCCTCCTTGTATCCTGATGGCTGGAAGACCAGCCCAGCCCTCAAGAGCCTGCCTGGCTGTGATCAGTGAGAGTCATCATGAGGATGTCCCCCCACTACACCCCAAGCATGTGAGCTGTGGAGGATCCCCCCATTCGTAGCTCCAGGAGGTGAGTTACTGGTGGTGTGGAGCCATGATTCATGGCCAGGACAGACCATAATTAGTGGTCACTGGTGTGGCCCCGCAAAGGAGTCCAGAACAAACACCCCCTGGGAGCTGGATGAAGTCTGGGGTGCCTGACTCCAGGGATGGGTCGGAATCAGGCCCAGCTAGGAAGAAGCACATGGGTGAAGGCCAGGTGGCTGGTGTTAGGAGCCTGTGGGCAATGAACTGGAGAAAGTAGAATTCCCCACCTGGTGCCTGCCCCTGCCCAGCCCTCCCCACCATCTGTGGCTTGATCCTTTGGGGCTCAGTATAAGCCCCTCAACTGCCGCTGGGCTGGTGCTTCCCCTGGGCCTCCTCATCTCCCCAGGCCTGAACCGGCCCAGAGCGCCTGTCTTCACCTGTCCCTGCCTAGCTGCGTGTCTGTCTCTTTCTCCCTGCCACAGAGGGTAGGCAGGACCACCTTGGCCACTGTGTGCCTAGTGCCAATCTCCTCTGCTGAAGGAGAAGATGTGTGCATGGTTGGCAGGTGGTCCCTGGAGCCCTGGATAGGGGCATTCAAGGAGTGCCCAGGAGGCCCCTGGAGAATAGGGATTGGAGGGGGGCAGCAGGCAGAAGCCCCGCAGCCCTTCCTTGGGGAAGGAGTGAGGGGACTGATGAGAGAACCCTGAAATCCACATCCCAGGCAGACAGGCAGCTTGAGTCCCCCAGCCTGCTTTTCTTTGGGAAGCCTGGCACAGGGCTGCACACTCCCAATAGGGTTCAGCTCAGCCCCTGTGGATGGGGGGCTCCACGAGGCCTAGAGACCTCCCCCAAGCCCCGGCAGACAAGGGGCTAAGTGGTCACTGGGGGTTGAGCTCCAGTTGAGCACTTCCTGAGAACGCTCTGGGTCCAGATGAAGCCAGGCTTCTCAGAAAGCCGGACTCTGGAACCCAAGAGCCTGGGTTCCAGAAACACATACTGGGAGCCAGAGATGCCTCACACACAGCTCTGTTTGCAATGTTAGAAGGAGAAGCAAGGAAGGTTTTCCAGAGAAAGAATACCCAGGGTTAGGTGGGAGTGCGCCTAACATTGAGAAGAGCTTACAAAAGACTGTCCTGGCCAGGCACGGTGGCTCAGGCCTGAGACCCCAGCACTTTGGGAGGCTGAAGCGGTTGGATCACCTGAGGTCAGCAGTTCAAGACCAGCCTGACCAATATGGTGAAACCCTGTCTCTACTAAAAAATACAAAAATTTGGCCGGGCGCGGTGGCTCAAGCCTGTAATCCCTGCACTTTGGGAGGCCGAGACGGGCGGATCACGAGGTCAGGAGATCGAGACCATCCTGGCTAACATGGTGAAACCCCGTCTCTACTAAAAAATACAAAAAACTAGCCAGGCGCGGTGGTGTGCGCCTGTAATCCCGGCTACTTGGGAGGCTGAGGCAGGAGATTCGCTTGAACCCGGGAGGCGGAGCTTGCAGTGAGCTGAGATCTGGCCACTGCACTCCGGCCTGGGCGACAGAGCGAGACTCCGTCTCAAAAAAAAAAAAAAAAAAAAAAAAATTAGCCAGGGGTGGCGGTGTGTGCCTGTAGTCCCAGCTACTCTAGAGGCTGAGACAGGAGAATTGCTTGAACCCAGGAGGTGGAGGTTGCAGTGAGCCAAGATCGCACCCCTGCACTCCAGCCTGGGCAACAGAGCGAGACTCCATCTCAAAACAAACAAGACTGTCCTAGTGTCAACTTTTCAGACTTCTGGGTTTTGTTGTTGTGTTGCTGAGTGCCTTGTTATTTACTCCTTGCCTTGTTCCGCAAAGGAATTGAAACAGCTCACAAAACCCAGAAGCCTGAAAAGTCAAAAACTCAGAAGTTTGGCTGGATGTGGTGGCTCACGCCTGTAATCCCAGCACTTTTGGAGGCTGAGGAGGGAGGATCGCTTAAGCCAGGAGTTCAAGACCAGCCTAGGCAACATAGTGAGATTCTACCTGTATAAAACGTAAAAATAAACAAATTAGCTAGATGTTATAGCATACACCTGCAGTCCCAGCTATTGAGAGGCTGAGGCAAGGAGGATCACTTGAACCCAGGGGGTTGAGGATGCAGTGAGCTATGATGACACCACTGCACTCCAACTTGGGTGACAGAGCAAGACCTTATCTCAAACAACAACAATAAAACCCAGAAGTCTGAAAAGTTACAATGTGAAAGAGGACATCAAATGAAAGGAAAAATCATGGTAGGAAAGAAAGATGAAGGCAGCAGTCCCCACTCACTGAGCTAGAAGACCTGGAACACTGGACAGAGGTGGTTCTGAGCTCCCTAGTGGCTGAGGAGAGGAGTGAAAGCAGATCCCAGTCCCTGATCCAGCATGAGAGGATGAAAGCACAGCCATTGTTCTGGAGACACTTTCTGGTTGTCATCATGGACAGGCTCCCTGGAGACTGTGCCTCCTCCCGCTTCAGGATTTAGCTCTTCTACTTCCCCTGGGCTGGGGTGGGTCTGTGCTTTGACAGTCCCTAGATCTCGTGTTCTAGAACCCTCTCTCCCAAAGCAGAACTTTTTTTTTTTTTTCTGTTTTCTGTTTTTTAAATCCATTTCAGCCTCCTGACAAGCAATAAGAGTTGGAATATTTGTTGAGGGGATGAATAAATGAACTCCTTAGTCAGTGCAGAGGTATCTGTGCATTGAGGCCATTTCTTGAGCATTGTCATGTGCAGGTCAGAGATGTGGGAGCCCCACACAGCAGGGAGGAGAGCAGAGGCGGAGGATGGGGGGCTGGGCTAACCTAGGCTTTCCAAGCTGTGATGGGGCAGGAGCTTCTCCACTAGCTCCAGGAAGGGGGAACTTGGGCTCTGGGCGCCTGTTTTGAAGAGGTTGCACCCCTTTGAGGGGACCTACGGGTTGCAACTCACGCAGGAAACGTGACCTTAGCAGTGAGGGCGGTGGAGTGGGCCAATTTCTGGATCTTTCTCTATTTAGTCACCTCCAGCCTTGTTGGGACAGGGATCTGGGGCTACGCCGCTGTGGTCTCGGCACCTTCTGTCCCCACTTCCCCTCGAGGACGGCCGTTTGAATATTGTCTAGTGTGGGCCATTTACCCCCGTGGGCAGAAGGAAGGTAGGAGGGACCTCAGAGGAGACTTCAAGGGCCCCCCCACTGCCCTTCTAACCTTGCAGATTCCCCTCTGGGGCCTGTTTCCTCTTCTCTCAACCAGCGATGCCAGGCTGAGGCTGTCGGTTCGAGAATCACGTAGGTAATAGCTTAGTAAAGGGCCTGGCACATAGTAGGCTCTCAAGAAAAGGTCGGAGCCTCTTGAGGAGTCTGCCTGTGATGGATGCGGAGCACAGACCCAGCGCAGTGCGGCGATTCGCCCAAGGTCACACAGCCGCCCCCCGAATTCGGACCCCGGGCGGCCTGACCTCGGGGCCAGGGCTTGTCGGGTGCCAGCGTGGGGGCGAGCAGTGTTTGGAAGAGCGGCCGCGGCCGTGGGTGGGAAGGGGCTTCTATTTTGGAACGAGTGAGAGGAGCGGGACACGCGGAGGGGGTAAGGGAGGGGTGGGCTCTCTGCGGCATCTCTGTCCCCCAGTCACCTTCCTGCAACCCTTCCTGGGAGGGGCGTTCTGGGCGGTGGGGGAAGGTGGGAGGGGCGGGCGGTTACCTCATCGCCGCCTCCGGGAGGCCCCGCTCGCTCGCGCCGCCGGCTGGGGCGGCGACTCCAGGCGCGGAAGCCAGAGAAGGACAGAGGCACAGAGGCTCCGGGAGGCAGTGCTGCCCCCCGCGTCCCGCACCGCTGCGGGACCCGTGCCGCGAGGGGGGCGGACTTCGGGGCCCCGCGCGGCCGCCGGCACCTGGGTTGGCGCTGCGGAGCGGAGGCAGTGTCTGAGCGCCGCTCCGGGTCTGCTCTCTCCCGAGCTTCGGCACCCGCCCGAGCCGCTCGCGCGTCCGCCACCTGTCTGCCCACTCCGTTGTCTGTCCGCCCTCCCGCCGCCAGCTCCGGCCTCGGGCCTGCCCTCTCCGGTCTCCGTGTTCCGGGGTCGACGAGAAGCGCGGCGGGGCCGGGGCGCACCGGGCAGGGCGCGCGGGGCGCACGGCCGGGGGGCGCACGGCGCGGCGCCGGCCCATGAGGCTTTCCAGAGCGGAGAGCGGCAGCGCCGGCCGGCCATGGGGGGCAGCCTGCGGGTGGCCGTTCTAGGCGCTCCGGGCGTGGGCAAGACGGCCATCATCCGCCAGTTCCTGTTCGGTGACTACCCCGAGCGCCACCGGCCCACGGACGGGCCCCGCCTCTACCGACCCGCGGTGCTGCTCGACGGCGCCGTCTACGACTTAAGCATCCGCGACGGCGACGTTGCTGGCCCCGGCTCGAGCCCTGGGGGTCCGGAGGTAGCGGCTCGAGGAGCGGGCAGGGGCGTGTGACAGCGTGAGGGGTGTGTGTGCTCGGTGCACACGTGCGTGTCCGCGTGGAGGCCTCGGGCGCCTGGCTGTGCTCCGGGATGGAGGGATGTGTGTGCTTCCTGGGATACTTGCGTTTCAGCCCTTCCCGCCGACATGGAGACTCCCAAGCCCAGGCTGGAGGCAGGGCGATTTTGCCCAGGGGGGTTCCCTTGCTCCTGAGAGCGCCTCCACCTTGCCTGCCTCGGCTGGGGGGTGTGGAGCAGCTCGTGGTGGTGCATAGCGGTGCCTTTCCGGGAGTGTGGCGTTTTGTGTTTGGGGCCTTGAGCAGAGCTACAATGGGAGAGACTGGGGTCAGGGGTAGGGGTGTACTTACGGGGGCTGGTGGAGGGGTTCATTCTCTGCCCCCTCATTCCTGTGCCCTGGAGCGAAGGCTCGTTTAGTAATTTGTGCAAAGTAAAGGACAGACCTCCGACCCTAGAGCAGTGAAGAAGAAAGGGCAGACAGGATTAAGCAGGGCTTCCTGGTGGGGGTGGCATTTGAGCTGAACCTGGAAGACCGAGTGAAGTTCTGAGTAAAGGGAGTGGCAAAAGCATAGCAGGTGGAAAGACCAGCAGGTGCTTACGCCAGGGGTATAAACGGTTACAGCTGACAACGTGGGGGCGTGGTGGACCACGGGGCTCCGGGCGGCCACGGGCTTTGGAATTAGTCTTAGAGGCAGTGGTAAACACTGAAGGCATCTAGGGAGGAGAGTGGCCTGAACCGAGTTGGGGAAAGCTGAAAAGAGGAAGATTCTGGGTAAACAGAGGGGAGACCAAGGATGTAGGAGGGTGGCTGACAGGCTCCAGGCACGATTTGGAAAATTTTACCCTGGTAGTCATGAGGAGACAGGGCCCGGGAAACTTGGGGGAGGGGCGCAGAGGTCTGGATGGAGGTGATGTTGGCCTGAGGATGAACTAGGTTTAGCGTCCAGGCCCCTGCAGAGGGTTCGAGAGCGGGAGAGTGGAAAGGAGGCTTCCGCAAACCCTGGCCTCCTGTCCCCAGGAGTGGCCAGACCCTAAGGACTGGAGCTTGCAGGACACGGACGCCTTCGTGCTCGTCTACGACATCTGCAGCCCGGACAGTTTCGACTACGTGAAGGCCCTGCGGCAGCGCATCGCGGAGACCAGGTGGGGGCGCGGCAGGTCTGGCGGTGGGGAGCTAGGGCAGGTCTGGCCCGGCCTTTGCCTGAGGGGAGTGTGTAGGGTCTCCCAAAGTCGTGGGCCGGGTCTTAGGCCTTCGCCCGTGGGAAGGTCTTCAGCTGTATGTGCTCTTTTGCCCACATGGGCCTGGAGTTCGGGGAGGGCCTCTGGCTGTAGAAGGGAATGCGCCTGCGTGTGTATACCCACTGGGGGAATTCTCCGGCCGTGGGGTCCCCGGCACCGCGTCTCTCATCTCCATTCGGCCCCCAGGCCGGCGGGCGCGCCCGAAGCGCCCATCCTGGTGGTAGGCAACAAGCGAGACAGGCAGCGGCTGCGCTTCGGACCGCGGCGCGCGCTGGCCGCCCTGGTGCGCAGGGGCTGGCGCTGCGGCTACCTCGAGTGCTCGGCCAAGTACAACTGGCACGTGCTGCGTCTCTTCCGCGAGCTGCTGCGCTGCGCTCTGGTGCGGGCGCGCCCTGCACACCCGGCCCTGCGCCTGCAGGGGGCGCTGCATCCAGCGCGCTGCAGCCTCATGTGACCCAATTGGACAGTACCATCCATGGGCCCCACCTTGTGACTGGGACAACCAGGGACCTGGATTGGACAGGATCGCCCAACTTCACTGGGACTGGACAGGGCAATCTCCGCCCTGATTGGATGAGGCCTAAGCGACGGGCCCCTTTTTGAACCTCATTGGACCCAACCAGGTCCCAAGCTCCATTGGAGATGACCAGTCCTTTCTGGGACCTCAGCGGGTCACAGTCCCATTGGATGGAAAGGACTTGGCTATGAATTTGGAAACGCGAGGCCTGCTCCTGGAGCTTCACTGGACATATTCTTTATGCCACTCCTATCGCAGGATAATAAACGGGAAAATAATTGAGTGCACCTGGGATTTCTGGGCGGGGCGGGATAACGCTTTAAATCTAGAGGTCAGAGCTGCCAGGCTTGACCTCCAGGCAGTTAACTTCAGGGTCCTCGAAAAGGTCTGAACGGCCCCAACGCGGAGTCCCCAAGAAACAGACAGGTGGCTGGAGCAAAACTTTACTGTCAGAGGCTCTGCTGGGCCACAGGTCTTCAGGACACCGGGCTGGCCCGGCCTCCTCTAAGGCATTCAATAATATTAGTAATTAAATAGCAACGCTCATCCCCCAATCGGAATGTACAACAGAGGTCCCATTGTGCCATGTGGTCCCAAGGGGTCTGGTCCCATGAGGTCTGGTACTCAAGAGGCAGAGGGGGCTCCCTGATGCAGAGGGGTTAAGGCCACAAAGGAAAAGAAGGGATGGGGTCTGGGGACAGTGAGCTGGTCCATCACATCCAGGAATCTGGCTCAGCCCTTGGGGTGACTGAGTGCAGGGCATGCCAGGTCCCAAGCTCTGCGGGTCCGGAGGGGCGGCGGGGGCCCCGAGGCGTGGGGATGCGTGAGGGTTTACGGTCTGGCTGTGTGTCCATCCGACCCCGTGCCCAGGTCCTCAAGGGTTCGGGGCCAGCCAGGGAGCTCCCAGGTGCATCTAGTGGCCCCCCCATGCCAGGGCAGGGGCTGCCTTCATCGGAAGAGCTGGAAAGGGCTTGGCTTCGCGGCCCAGGCAGGCCATTGGCCGTCCGGCCAGAGTCCCCAGGTTGGCCACATTTGCCACCCAGGACGCTGAGGGACGAAGAGGAGGAACTGGAGGAACAGTAGGCAGAGTCAGGAGCTGGAGGGTCAGGGGCCCGAGCTGGGTCAGAGGCTGGTCCAGTGGGAGTCACGCTAGCAACAGCCTCAAGAGCCCGGGCATTGGCCAGGAACTCCTCTTCCAGGCGCCGAAACAGCTGCTGCTCCTGCTGCGGGTCGAGCTGCAGGGGTGTGCGGAAGATGCTGGCCGGTGTGGTGCCCAACTCTGGACTGGGGCTGGAGACCCGTGAAAGCCGGGGTGCTGCAGGGCTGCGGGCACGGGGAGTCTGGGGGGTGCTCCTGCCCGAGCCCCCAGTGCCCCTGCCCCTTGGCACCCATGAGTGCTGCCCGTCTCGATCCCTGCGCACAAGCAGCACAGCCTGCTCCTCGCGGCTCTGGCTCCGGGCCCGCCGGGCAGGGCTGGGGGCTGACAACTGGGCTCCCCTGCCTCCTGGGGCCCCCCGGGGCCGGCCCCGATCCAGCCGGTCTCGGGACTGGCTGCGCAGGGCAGGAGGCCGTCTCGGAGAGGCCGGGGTGCCTGTGGTCAGCCGCCGGCTGGGTCGCTCCCTCCGGGGGCCAGTGCCTGTGTCATCACTGCGGGTACCAAGGGGGCCGCTCTGGGCGGAGGAGGCTGAGGAGTCACTGTCCCCGGAGTAGCGGCGGGAGCGGGGATGGGGGGGCAGCTGATCCCGGGGCCTGGGGCAGGGGGACAAGAGAGACAAATGGGGTACCACGGAAGGACTGGCATACAGAACAGGCAGGGAGAGGAACAGCAGGGTATGTGGCTGGTGGACGGGGCTGTCAGGGGCATCGGTCTGTCCTGGGGACTTCCAGGGAGAAGTGAGCAGCTTCCTCTAGCCACCCAGGGCCCCAAAAACCACGGAAGAAGAAGTTTCCTGGGCTCTAGACACCCCCCTTCAAAGAACGGGCCAGAGGAAGCAAAAGCTGGACTGGCTGCCGCCCAGCCACAGGGCCCGCCCCAGCTGTGTTGTTGGTTTGGTTGTGTTGCCATGGAGATGGGAAGCTAGGCCCGCCCCCACCCACGGGAACTTTTCCCAGGGTGTGAGTCACTCTGGCGCACAGGCAACCCGTCATGCAGGCCAGGGCTGACGCCCCCCAACCCTCTGGACCCTCACCCCTCGTCCTCCTGCATCTCACCTGGGCGGGGTCTCAGGCCCCTCCTTTGTGCTTCGTAAGCTAATGGGAGTCATCTCAGGTCGGGAACCCCGGCGCTCACTCCCGGGAACTGGGCTAGCAGGGCGGGGACTGGGAGTGGGCGACACCCTCTGCGGAGAAAAGGTACGGACCCTCGGCTGGGGTGGGCGATGAGCTGCAGGGAGAGAGGATAGGCAGCATGTGAGGGACGTAGCCACACAAGCGAGTCCCCTGCCCATCTACCCCCAGCCCCACCCCGGCACTGACCGGTGGAGGAGCAGCGGCACGGGTCGTGCTTGTCCAGGTAATGCTCCAGCGTGTCCCAGCCACCACCCACTCGCACCATCACGTGGCTCCTCAGCACCTGCAGGCGTGGGCAGGTCATGGCTGTGCCCCAGGCGCCCGGCAGCCCACCACCTTGGCTGCTGCCCACTAGAGCGGCCCCTGGCCCTTACCCGCACAAAGATGAGCAGGCTCGAGTCCCCCACACGGTACTTCCCCTCCGAGACCTTGATCATGGGGAACTGATCGGGGCAGGTGCAGCGGCCCAGGATCTCCCTCACCTGAGGCCAGAGAGAGGGTAGGGGTCAGAGGTCAAGTCCTCTTCCTGGGGCTTAATGTCAGCCATTCCAGGATCAGGAGGAAGTCAGGCCTTCCAGGGAAGTGGATGGAGGCAGTGTTACCCCAGATGGGATACAGCTTCCACACATGACCTTTCTTTTCTTTCTTTTTTTTTTTGAGACGGAGTTTCACTCCTGTTGCCCAGGCTGGAGTGCAACGTTGTGATCTCTGCTCACTGCAACCTCTGCCTTCCAGGTTCCAGCAATTCCCCTGCCGCAGCCTCCCGAGCGGCTGGGATTACAGGCATGTGCTACCACGCCTGGCTAATTTTGTATTTTTAGTAGAGATGGGGTTTCTCCATGTTGGCCAGGCTGGTCTCGAACTCCTGACCTCAGGTGATCTGCCCACCTCGGCCTCCCAAACTGCTGGATTACAGGCGTGAGCCACCACGCCCGGCCCACACGTGACCTTTTACCAGCTCCCCCTTCTTGGCTCTCTGGGCCCAGGGAGCTCCCAGGATGAGATGATGGGGCTGTGGTCATGCCATGGTCTGAGACCCAGTGAGGAACATCCCACAGCTCCTAGAGCTGGGGAAACCCCAGAGCCTGTCCTCACTCCCCCTTCACCCACTTCCCAGACAAGAAGGCTGGGGCCCACAGGAAGGCCAGGCGGGCTGTAGGACACAGGCGCAGGGGGTCCCATGCCCCTGGGTGGGCACTGATGCGGAGGGGTACCACAGACACGTGGGACACACAGGCCACTGGCTGGGTGAGCACGTACCACATACAGCGCCCCACCAGAGCCAGAGCTGCCAAGCTGGCTATGTGGGCAGCCCTGCCCGCCTCCCTGCCCACAGCGGCAGCGGTGCCGCCAGAGGAAATAAGCAGGTGGAGCCTTGAGTGACCCTGGCCCAGGACAGGGGGTGGGGCCCCAGGCTCTGCCCACTGCCATCCGCTATCTGCCTCCCAGGCAGGCACATTGTAGTCCTGACCTTCCGATAAGAAGGAAACTCTTGGTCCAGCCGTTGGGGGTGGCAGGGGCCACCCACATCCTGGGAGAGAAGAGAGTTGGGGGCAGGGCCCGGCACCTTCTATGCTTAGAATCCTGCAGCTCCAAACAGGATCCTCATCCCAGCAACAGCAGCAACCTGGCTAGGCTTCCCAAGGGTGCCTGGGGAGTGGGGAGATCTGCAGAGCCCCCCGGGGTACCTACTGTGTGGCAGGCACCTTGCCCAGGGCTTTCCATGCCTCATCTCAACTGAGCATCACAGCACCCACTCAACCTCGAGCCTCCCTGAGGTTCTGGGCACATCTGCCTAAGACTAAGTGCAGGGAGGGCACAGAGGAGGCGCCCCAATCATGCAGTCCCCCAGAAGAAGGAATGCACAAGCTCAGTTGAGGCACAGTTAGCACCCAAAGTGAGGGAGGATCGTGCCAGGAGCCCGCATCCTGTCCCAGGCCCGGCTGGGCTGCGTCATCTCCCCAGCACCTCCCTCTCTGTGGGCTACCCATTTCCTTGGGGTCAGGTATACATTCCTTGATTTGGTGCTCAACATGTGCACTCCTTTTGTGGGGCAGGCTGTTCTGCAGATAGCAGGGTGGACCCTGGGAGGTTCAGGGACAGATTGCAGGCACTAGCTGTGCTGTCGGGTCCCTGGCGCCTGGTGCTGGGGGACTCACCAGCTCGTCGAGGTTGCGCAGGTCGCTGGGTGTCATGCGGGGGCCACGGGCAGGAGTCCCTGGTGCAGGGGTGGTTTCAGTGGTGTCCTCCCCAGCAGCAGGGGCGTTGGGGGCTGGGGGTGCAGCACGCAGCTCCCGCTCAATCTCTTGCTCGAACTGCACGAGGCGTGGGGCAAGCAGGCCCAGGCGGGCCCCACGCCGTGCCACCTCCAGCAGGCACAGCACCACACTCTTCTCGTTCTTGCGAAGCACCAGGTCCTCAGTCTCAAACATGAGCACCTCCGGCACACCCAGCTCCGTGCGGCACCAGCCGATGAAGGTGGCCACGTTGTCGCGGGCCATGAAGGAGCCAGGCACTACACTGTGTGCCTGGAAGGCCACACCTCGGGCCGGTCGGGCAGCTGCCAATGCACGGGCAGCCTCGGTCACGGCGTTGGCATGTTGGCACAGGGTCGTGCCCGTGGCCAGCCCCGTCAGGAAGCCATCACCACCACCCGGGAGACCCAGGCCGTACAAGGCATTGAGCCACTCGGCCAGGTCCTCCTTCATGGCCTCCACGTAGGCCTCACTGGAACGAAATGGCCGCACGCTCTTGGCCGCCGAGCCCGCGATGCCCGCCACCGGGTCCGCCATGCCCGGACCCGCCGAGTCACTGTAGGCAGGAACACAGGTCAGGATCGCTGTGGGGACGCAGTAAGGGCTCAGTACAAACTAAGCTGCTGGCCACCTGCACCAGTCTGTCACTTAGGGCAAATGCCTGGTTTACATGTTGGCTCTGGGAAATGTCGGTGCTCCAAGTTTCCTCATCTGCGAAATGGGTACAGTAACATTCCCTGCCTCATGGGACTCTATGGGATAATTTTTATAAACTTAAGGTCCATTAAGTGTTTGCTGTGTGACTTTTTGGGGTGCAAACTGGGGCTTGGCTGGGGCCTCCCTCTCAGGCAGGGAGGTGCCCATTGTGAAGGGCTGGGACCTAGAGAAGTGAAGGCAACGGCTAGGGCCCCCAGAGGACACGAAGGGAACCCAGGTCCTGACCTCAGAGTGGGTTATGTGCATGGCTCAGGGCTGGTGCCCACCCCACGTCCTGCGGGAAGGTGCCCGCGCCTGCCTTGGCCCCCTTCCATAAGGGCTGTGCCATCATTAACAACAACATAGCAGCAGCAATAGCGTAACAGCACAACCGCACTAGGGCTGAGCGGGCGGAGGCATTATCTCCATTTTACAGATGAGGAAACTGAGGCGCAGAAAGGGCCGAGCTCGTGAAGGTCGCAGAGCTGTGGGTGGAGGAGCCCGGGCGTGCAGGCGGCGCAGCGTGGCCGGTCTCGGCGATCCGGGGCCAGGGCCAGGCCCCGCCTCCTCCAAGAAGCCTCCCGAGCGCCCCAGGCCGGTGCCAGCTGGGCCAGGACTCAGAGCGGCCTCCGCAGGCCCCGCCGGTGCTCGGGCCTGGGCCCAGAGAGGGCGCGGGGCCGCCCAAGGTCACACAGCCCCGGGGAACAGAGGCCGCGGACGTCGCTTCCCGGCCCTCCGCCCCCGTCCATGCGCACCAGGCAGGGAGTGCTGGGGGTCCCCGCGCTCACCTGGCTCATCCCGCGGCTCCGGGGAGCATCGCCCCGGCGGGGGCCGGAGCCGGGCCGGGCCCGCCGCAGGGAGCCGCCGCCCGAGCCGCAGCTCGATCTGTCCCGCGCCGCGGCCTCCTCCTCGCCGCCGTCTCCGCCCCGCCTCCCTGGAATTCGGATCCGGCCCGGAGGGGGCGGGCGGGGCTGCGCGCTCTTAAAGGGGCCGCCCCTTTCCCGAGTCGGCGGGGCAGACAGGGGAAGAGCTGGGGTCTCCCCACGCGATCGGGCCAGGAATCCCGGGTCTTCAAGCGCTCTCGACGCAGAGGGCCCCAGGGTCCCCAGACAACTGCGACCGGCCCAGGCGCCCCACCCCCACGCAGCCTAGTACCCGGGGCCCCGTCCAACCTCTTTGATCCCCTGGGGAGGAGGTTGGGTCCTTTTAATCCTCCGCCTCCCCGGACGGTGGGCTCCCCGGGCTGGCGCACAGCACGGCCTGTTCCCAAGATGAAGTCAGGAAGCGATAGCGGCTGGGGGCTGCGAAGTCACCTCCTCCCGGGTGGACCTCCCCTGGCCAGATAACCGGCACCGCCGCGGGGAGCGGAGGATGGCCCTGGTGACTGAGGGCTCCTTGTGCTCACGGAGTGCTCGGTTTTGACCTTGAGATGAGGGGAACCGGTTTTACAGATGAGGATACTGAGACTTAGAGAAGTAGGTAGATGGCCAAGGCCAGAGTTCCGCACAGAACAGGGGACGGGGGCATCGGAGGCCCGCCGGACACGGGAGGGTTAAGCCCCACTAGGCTCTTTTTAAACTGCAGTGGACAGACCGCCGGGATCAGCGGGAAATCCTGCCCCCTGCTGCTGCCGGCTGGGTTGGGCGGGACGCCGGGCGGGTCTGGGCGGCAGCCATGCTACACGGGCGGGGCCGGCCTACAGGGAAGCGCTGCCAACCACAGCCAGGCTCAGAGCTCCAATAAATCTCCTACTGTGTGCTACCAAGACTGCTCTGCGCCCTTGACCTGAATGGACTGGCGTGTCACCTCTGTGAGGGACACTCATGCCCAACCAGGGCGCCATCAGGAGAGCAGCTGGTGGAGCCGGGATTTGAACATAATTATGATGACGCCCTGGTCCACGGATCAGCAGCATTGGTTGAGCACCTATTGTTAGCCAGGCCTCTTGGTGCCAGGCACTCACAGACATCATCCCAGAGTCCTTGTGATTTTTTCTTTTCTTTTCTTTTTTTTTTTGAGACAGTGTCTCACTCTGCCACTTGCTCAGGCTGGAGTGCAGTGGCTACATCTTGGCTCACTGCAACCTCCACCTCCCAGGTTCAAGTGATTCTTCTGTCTCAGCCTCCCGAGTAGCTGGGATTACAGGCGTGAGCCACCACATCCGGCTTTTTGTATTTTTAGTAGAGATGGGGTTTTACCATGTTGGCCAGGTTGGTCTCGAACTTCTGTCCTCAGGCGATCCGCCCGCCTCCCAAAGTGCTGGGATTATAGGCATGAGCCTGTGTGACTTTTTCAAAGTTGTTTTCTCACCTCAGTGCCTGGCATGGCACTTCTTCCAGTGAGGAAGGCAGAAATTAATAATCCTCAAGGCTGACACCTGCATGGCACCTACTGTGTGCTGGGTCTCTTTGGGCACTGGAAATCAACAGCAAAACAGGGAACCAAGCAGTGCCAGCTCTCAGGGCCTGCTGTCCCAGTGGCAGGGAGGCAGCCCCAGGGCAGAGACAGGGATGAGGTGCAGGGGAGACGGGGAGGGAGCTGGGTGAGGGTGTGAGTGTGAGGGGGACTGCAACTTAAAATCCCTCATCAGGAAGGGAGATGAGGGAGGAAGCCCAGGGATATCTGGAGGGGGAGAGGGAACGGTCAGTGCAAAGGCCCCAAAGTGTGCATGTGTCCAGCATGCTCAAGAAGACTGGGGAGGTGGCTAAGGCTGGAGTGCAGGGAGGTGGGTGAGGGAAGAGGTAGAGAGATTAGAGAGACCCCAGGGCTGGTTAAGCAGGGCCTTGCGGGCTGTGCCTCTTTTGAAGGACATGGGAGCCATGGAATGATTTAGAGCAGGGGTGGTTGGCTTAGGTCTTAACATTCCCTGGGGCTGCTGTGGTTGGCCAAGGCAGGAGCTGGAGCCTCAGAGGAAACCAGGTGGTGAGAGGGTGTTGGATTCTGGCTGTATCGTGAGGGGAGAGCTGATGTGCTGGTGGATTGGTTGTGTGAGAACGGGGTCCAGGATGACTCCCAGGGCTGAGCACTGGGAGGGCGGGGGTGCTAACACCTGGGGAGGGGAGGGCTGCTGGAGGTGGAGGAGGGTTGTAGGTTTGGGGTGGGGGTGAATCAGGGTGTGGACACTTAACAGTTTCATCTTCAAAATACCCCGATGAGCTATGATACTCTTAGGTGTTCTCATTTTACAATTTGGGGAAATTGAGGCCCAGAGAAGGCACGGGATGTGTGTAACCAGCAGCTGTGCAGGCATTTGACTCCTGCTTATACCTACCTTGCTCCATTTTGGGGCTGTGGACACGGGTGAAGTTGGACTGAACCCAGGCTCTGTCATTGGTCATTAGGTGGGATAGTGAAGCTCCCTGAGCCTCAGTGGCACCATCTGTAGAATGGGACAGTAGTAGTAGTCACATCATGGGGTTGTGAAAAATAATACCACTACCCAACTCAGTGTGGCCTGGCTCAGCATGTCCACTTCTCTGGGGAGGAGGGATTATAAAGAGATTCCTTCCTCCCTCTGTGGCCGGTGATGAGGCCTGTTCTAGACCACAGCCTCCACCTGATTGTAGGACATGTAGTTGCTATGGTACAGACCTCACTGGGGGGTCAGACCCATGGCCCAGGGCATGGTGGACCCCAGCTTTGACCCCCTCTGTCGTATGGTGGCCCAGGGCCCATGGGGCCACGTCTGGGAAAGCCTCAGCCTCTGCATGGTCTCCCTTGTTCCTTGCAGGACCAAGAGAAACCACAGAAACTGCTGGAGAGACAGGAGGTTTGGGCTATAGGGACCCTAAGCCCATCTGTACAGATGCTCGAAGCCACCCCCCTCTGTGCACAGAATGCTGTGGCTCCCATATGGGCTCCTTCTGGCCTTTGGGCAGAGGGTACATAGCCAGTTTCTCGCACCCACTCCTGGGTGCCAGCCAGCAGCCTGCTTGGCCTTGGTTGCCGATAGAGGTCAGACGATGGCTGTGGAGTTTCAAGCAAAACTCGCATTGTGGGCTACAGCCCTGCTACCAGGCAGCTCCAGGAACCTCTGGCGCTGGTTGGATTAGAACTCCTAAGTTCTCCAGCCTGGACTGAGGCTCTGAGCACAGCCCAGGATGAGTGAGGGACTCATAGGAGGCTTCCGGCTGCTGTGTCCAGGCGTGGGCTCAGCTCCAATGACTGCGGCTGGTCAGCTCCTGCTCTGGCTGTGGGACAGGTGACCCCGAGCTGCCTCCAGTGCCCTCCACAAGAGAGACGCAAAATTGGAAAACCCAAGTGGGCTCTTTCCAACCTGCCTGCATCACAATGTCCTCACTGCCGGCCGTACGCCCAGCAGATCTGTCAGGAGTGGGGCAGGAGGGGACAGCATGAGGACCAGCTGTCGTCCCTGTCACAGACTGCACTGTTGGCCCCACAGCTGCTGCTGCAGCCCTGTGCTCTTTCCTGTCGAGCAGGGGAGCCACTCCCTGCGGGCATAGGTCAGTCTCCCCATGGACCCCACCACCTTTGCCCAGGCCTGTGCCGTATGGCCTCGTGGGACCTCAAGTTTGTGTTGGAAACTTTTAGTCTAGGTGCTTTTGAGGAGTTTGAGCAGGGTGTGGGATAGATGCCAGCCTTTCGACCTGCTCTGCTGTCTGCCCTGCCCACCTCCTTCATGCCCTGACACCAGCCAGCTTCATGCAGCCCTTTGAGACAGGCTTGCAATCCATGCTGCCTGAGGGCATCTGTGCCCAGAGGAGTCCAGAAGTTTCTTTGGGCTGACAAAAATAGACCTACCTGCTGTAAACGTCTCTACCAGGGCTATTTAATGCCAGTGACAAACCCCTCTCAAGGTAGGGACTAAGGGTACTCCTGGGGAGCCTATGCAATGCCAGAGTCTGACGGATGCTTGTGCAGCAGCAGTTTCAGAGCAGGCTGCTTGTCTTCCCTTAGTGCTGGCAGCATGCGGGTCATGTCAGAGCACCCGTCCTTTCAGAAGCAGGTGCCTGTGTACAGTGGGTGGTGGGAGGGTGAGTGTGCGGGGTCTGGAGGGCAACGACCCTTAGCTCAACTCGGCCTCTCAATGGCAAATCCTCCCTTGACCTCTCTGTTCCCATCTCAGCTGAGGTGTGGCTCTCCTGTGTTACCTGCCTTGAAGGTTATTAGGAATTAAACACATGGAGGTACTTAGTGCAATGCCTGGCATGACACAGGGGCCCAGTGATTTCCTAGTCAAGTTTGGGCCTCATAGGTGTGTGTGCACCTTGGCTCTGACACATCAAGGCTGAGGTGAGAGCGTCCTTGGCCCCTTGAGGAACAGTGCTGGACTGGTGAGCAAGGCAGAGCAGGGCAACTGGGCTCCCAGGGGTCTTTTGAAGCATGGCAAGCATGCTTGGAGCCACCAAATGGTTTTGAGACTGGAGACGACCTCCTGTGTCTAGCTGGTTTGGGCCAAGTGTGGTGGCTCACGCCTATAATCCCAGCACTGGGAGGCCAAGGTGGGATGATCACTTGAGCCCAAGGTTAGCCCAGCCTGGGCAACAGTGAGACTTGATCTCTACAAAAGCATCAAAAAAATTAGCCGGGTGCTACACCTGTAGTCCCAGCTACTCAGGAGGCTGAGGTGGGAAGATCGCTTGAGCTCAGTTGAAGCTGTGATTGTGCCACTGCACTCCAGCCTTGGGGAGAACAAGGCCATTTCCAGCCACAACAAAACCCACCACAAACCTTGGTCTGGCTTCTAAGGGCGGGCTGGAGACACTGAGAGGAGAAGCAGGGAACCCAGTGAGGTGGTGTCATGGAGGTGGGGGGCTGTGGTGGTTTGCACTGTCCTGGATTTGGAAGAGAGCTAGGTTGGGGGCTGGGGTTTGAGAATGGGTCATGGATGACCCCAAGGTTTGGGGCAAGTGTGTGTTTGCTGACCTGGGGTGTAGGGAGGATGGGGCAGGAGCAAGCCCTGCTCTACACCCATCATGCACCCAAGCCGAGTTGCCCTAGGGAGAAAGGGCTGAAGCCAGAGTATGGGAAGGACAGCCAGGCAGTGTGGCGCGCAGGGAACCCAATGCTAGCCTTGGGGCCATCCCACATTTAGGGATAGAAGAAAAAGGAAGCAATGAAGGAGATAGAACAGAGAAGGAATGACCATTGATTTGGCAACATTATAAGTCGTTGGTGACTGAGAGGTGTTTTAGTGCTGGCAAAGAATGAAGTGGGTTCCAGAAAGGGAGGAGGCAGACATGGCTCTTTCCATGCGCTTCCTGTAGAAAGAGCCAGGAATATGGTTTGGAGGGAGGTGTATGATGGCTGGTTAAGGGAGGGTTTTCCAAACGCTGAGAATCAAACACATACTAGCACAGGAAATGACCAGGGGAACAGCAGAGGTGTACGCAATACTTGTCCAGAAGCACTGGGATGAGAGGGCCCGACCCAGTCCACCTGAGAGGGATTGTCCCTCACCTGAGGGAGCAGCCCCTTAGACGCTCCTAGTGCCTGATCCCACGGAAGGCAGTTATTTCCAGTTCTTCCTGTGCCTCCCTTACTTGGGTCTCTCCTTGAACCTTTGGACACTAGTGGGTCTCTGAGGGTGCGTCAGGGCCAGAGTCTGTTTCCATGTC